TTAAATAAGTCTCTCGTGCGAGACATTATTGTAAGCAAGTTGTAGCTTCATTGTTTCAGTTCTGTTCTTGGAATGTCTGAATTAAAAACTTTCCTTTTTCTTATCAGATTACTACAAAATGTTCTATTTTCATGCATTTTTACTTTATTTTTGTTTCTTGTCATTGTAGGTCAACTTTGTGTGTGGACGCATACCAAAGTCTACTTCAGAGATTCAAGGGTATCTGTTTAATTGTTTTCCATCTAGTATTATTATACACTTAGTTGCATTTTTAAAATCCATTAATGCCATGTTTTCGTGAAGTTTGGTATGCGAGGACATCTGTAAAGGGCTAGAAGCTAAGCGCATTCCAGCCACTAATCGTGTTGATGATCCACCAGTTTCACCATCAGGCAAGTTGGAGCAGAACTAGGAAGAAGTATTAGCATTAGTATCTACTTGATAATTACACGAGCTGAATTATCCTCTTTTCGAATCTCAGGGTTCACATACATCAAATCCATGATAGTTGAGCCCAATGTCAAAATTCCAAAAAGCTCAACTGGGTGTAACTGCCGAGGCAGCTGCACTGATCCAAATAAATGTGCCTGTGCTAGGCGTAATGGGGGAAACTTCCCTTATGTCGACCATAATGATGGCAGGTGAAATTCCTTGTTAATTCATTGTTCATTAGTTTGCATGACACCTATGCGCAATGTTTTTATCTGAAGCTTGCAATGAGAGGAGTTCACAATTAGTCTAATCTACTGCGATTGCTATTTCATTCTTATCCTTCTTTTCCATGATCGTTGACTAGTGTCTCTTGGTGTAATGTTGTGGTAAACAGTAACAGGTTCATTAATTGTGTTGATTTTCTGTGCTTTCCTTTTCAGATTAATTGAGCCTCGAGATGTTGTTTTTGAATGTGGTCCAAACTGTGGGTGTGGGCCTCAATGTGTCAACCGAACCTCTCAGAAAGGACTAAGATTTAATCTCGAGGTATGTTTTAGTGAAGACTTAGTAAGGAACATCCAGTTGCCACTAAAGTCGAAATGAGACTTTGATAATTAATTAAAAATGCATTTCTGTTGACGAAGATAGCCTTCATAAATTAGAGAAATGAACCAAACTACATTTGGATTTCATTATCTGTCCGTTGTCTGTTATTAAGAAAAGTGCAAAATCCAGTTTTTGTCACTTTTGATGTTCTTTGGAATCTGAAGTTATTATATCCAGCAGCCAAATCACAATGTGAAGCCTGAGTTTCTCTCTTGCTGTTGTTCTTTGGAATCTGAAGTTATTATATCCAGCAGACAAATCACAATGTGAAGCCTGAGTTTCTCTCTTGCTGTTGTTGTCTGTGGCCTCGAATAGGTTTTCCGTTCTCCAAAGAAGGGTTGGGCAGTTAGATCATGGGACTACATACCAGCTGGAGCACCAGTATGTGAGTACATAGGAGTTCTCAGAAGAACTGATGATGTGGATACTATTATTGGCAACGAGTACATATTTGAGATGGATTGCCTACAGACAATGCAAGGTCTTGATGGAAGACAGGTAACCATTGAGAAGCTTATTTTGTGATGTGATTAGTATTGGATCAATCAATGGATTTTCAAAGGAATATCTTGTGTTCTTATGCAAACAGAGAAGACTAAAGGACGTAGCTGTACCACTGAG